GAAAGTACCCACGCATGCATGGCGTATTGCCCATGGTAGTTATGCATTTACTTAAAGATTGGGAAGTACCAGCTGCGTGCCCGTAGCTCAGTGGTTAGGGCACCAGCCACATGCTGTGGGGCTGGTGGGTTTAAACCCAGCCCAGGCCTGCTAAACAAAAACAAACAAACAAAAAAATAGCTGGGTGGGCAGCGCCTGTAGCTCAAAGGAGTAGGGTGCCTGCCCCATATGCCAGAGGTGGCGGGTTCAAACCCAGCGCCAGCCAAAAACTGCACAAAATAAATAAATAAATAAAAGGGGGAAAAGTTCATTTAGAAAAAAAAAAAAGCCGGGCATGGTAGTGGGTGCCTGTAGTCCCAGCTACTGGGGAGGCTGAAGCAAGAAAATCGCTTAAGCCCAAGTGTTTGAGGTTGCTGTGAGCTATGATGCCATAGCACTCTACCAAGGGTGACAAAGTAAGACTCTGTATCAATTAAAAAAAAAAAAAAGATTGGGAAATTCCAGGTAGAACAATTCATTATTATTTTAAAAAGAGGAAAGAAATGAATCAGAATGCAGTGTATGACTTTACCATGGGCAACATGCCTACCTTGACTCCCTGGAGCAGCTTTCTCCACTGGGGCTCCTTTATTGGAAAGTGATGAGCAATTACATTCAAAATCAATTTGATCTAATTGTGAGATTTCCCTGCCTGTTATTGTAGAATTCCAACTTCTTTAATGATAATAATTTAGCCTTATGATAAATTAATGATACCATATAATGGCAGCTTTTTAAATTTGTTGACATTTCTGAGAGATATAATGTGAGAGAGATGCTATTTTTTTTTTGAGACAGAATCTCATTGTGTCGAGTAGAGTTCCATGGTGTCACAGCTCACAGCAACCTCAAACTTTGGGCTTAAGTGATTCTCTTGCTTCTGCCTCCCAAGTAGCTGGGACTATAGGCACCTACCACAGGCCTGGCTACTTTTTTGTTGCAGTTGTCTTTGTTTAGCTGCTCTGGGGCTGGGTTCAAACCAGCCAGCCTGGGTGTATATGACTGATGCCCTACCTACTGAGCTGTGGGCACCACCCAAGATGCTAATATTTAAGAAAAACTTAGGAGTTCGACACAGCCAGCATGTATTAGCATTGTTATATGTTAAGCACCATGCCAGGTGTCCTGAGTGGAGTCCCTGTCCTCAGAAGTTGCATTGTAGGCTCAGCACCTGTAACTCAGTGGTTAGGGCACCAGCTACATATATTGGGGCTGGTAGGTTTGAACCTGGCCTGGGCCTGCTTAACAATGACAACTGCAACAAAAAAATAGCCGGGCATTGTGGCGGGTGCCTATAGTCCCAGCTACTTGGGAGGCTGAGGCAAGAGAATCACTTAAGCCCAAGAGCTTGAGGTTGCTGTGAGCTGTGATGTCACAGCACTCTACTGAGGGGGGGAGGGGAAGAAATTGCATTGTAGTGGGGAAGTAGGATGTGTACTCAATTACACTGCAAGGCAGTCTTTTTATTGATAAACATCACAAATGGCTTCATGGAGGAAGCTGCTTTTGAGCTGGACCTTGACACATGGGTAGGCAGAGGTGGAGTGTGTATGTGTGGTTGAAATGGGCATTCATATGGTAGGAAGGAGGAAAATTTGCTCAATATGCCCATCATTGTATTGGAATCAGGAATGTGGAAATGGCGGGGGTACTGAGGTTGGCTGGCCAGTTGGTGAAGGGAGAGAAAGCAAAAGGTGAAAAGAGGTGATGAAGGGAGGTAAACTTGGCTTGCTGGGCTAGGGCCAGGTGCTAGTGGCCTCAGTGCTGTGGAGTTTGGGCTTAATTCAGGGGCATTGGAGCTAAGGAAAGGTTTTTGAACAGTGCCGTGATCCAAATGCCTGTGTGGAGCTTACCATCTGTTACAGATGTTTAGTATTTGATTTTCTCTCATTTAATCCTCACACCAGCTCCATGAAATAGGACTTCTTATCCCATTTCATAGATGAGAAAACAAAGGTTTAGCAAAGCTCAGTGTCTTGCACAGATAAGTCAAGGAGCTGCAGTTTGAGCCCTAGGCTCCAAGCTTGACTCCAAAACTCCAACCTACAATGAGAAAGATGGGCTAGAGAAAAAGTTGAAGAAAAAACTTGGTAGGAGGCTGTGGCAGTTGTCCAAGTGAGAAGTGAATGAGGGCAGGGAGAGGGTGGATGGACATGAGAGGATGGACAGAGTTGGGCAGAGTCCATAGCACTGGAGTGGCTGGGAGTGGTAGAGTAAGAAGAAGAGAAAGAGTACTGTGTGGGGTGGTGGAGGTGATGGGGAGCAGGGAACAGAACCATGGTCTCACACTCCCTGGTGACTCTTGTCACTGTGGTAAGGATGTGGCTGATTGGATCATCTTGAGTCAGAAGAGTTTGAGAAGTAGAGGAATGACTCAGGTGAAAGCATGATGAGCCCTAAGCTCCAATTCCACACCTTCCACTGAGTTGCTGCTCATCACTCACCATCCAGCCTCAGTTTCCCCATCAATATAGGGAGGCAGTGGAATGGTTTGTTAGGGGATTCCAGAGAATTCATGGCCATTTAGACCAGCTCAGCATTACCAACCCAGCTCTTGTGAAATAGGCCACTTTTAAAACATCCCAGGTGATAAATCCATTGTGAACATCCATTCCAAATAGAATGGTAAAAATCCACAGGATATGCTTCCTCTTCCCTACCACTTAGCAGGTGCCTCTGAGAACTCCAGTCTCAGCTTGGACTTCCTGCCTTGGTCTCCTTAATGAGCACTTTAGTAAGTAGTGTGGTCATTCCTTCTGAACCACAGGCACATTTTAACTGAAGGCATTAGGAGAAAGGAATGCTCCAGAAGAGCTTTCAGATTAGATACACTGTCATGATTTCATTATAAAGAACTTTTTCTTCAAAGAGCTCAATCATCTTTGCAAATCCATTCACAACCTATTGGCAGGTAGTCCTCACAAGAGCCTCACAGGCAAGCTGTAGCCTTTTGTTTCCTTTGAACAGAGCACAAGTACTGCTTCACGGATCCCACAGAGGACCATGGTAGCATGGGAATGAGTGCTGGGGGAGAGTATTGGAGAGAGGAGGTGCTGTGCCCACATCTCTGCCTCAGCTGACTGGGCAGGATCAGCTGGATCCTGGGAGCCAAGACGGGTGGATTGCAAGAGCGCCTAAAGATGATGTGGTCCACAGTGCCCCCTGGTGGTGTAAAGCAGTCTGGTGCTCTTTGTTCTAGGGAAGAGAGATCACCTGTTTTAAACATCTTGTGGCCCAATTTCCTTTTTACTGGAGCTTTACTCCTGGGCTAGAGCCACCCTGGCATCTGCTGCAGGTTCAGTGATACCCTGAAGGCAGCATAGTTTGGGAATATTCAGGCCTGTCCTCCCAGTGTCTGGAAGAAAGGTTCAGAAACCAAGGGGTAGGGAGAGTGGGGGCTGGAAATGATTCTTGCTTTCAGAAGTGCCTAAGACTTGCCCTGTCTTATGTGGTAGCCACCAGTCCCATGTGGCTATAGAGCATTTTGGAATGTGACTAGTCTGAATTGAGATGGACTGTCAATGTTAACTACACACTGAATTTCACAATATATTAAAAAAATGTTGATAGCATGTTAAAATGCTAATATTTTAGGTTAATAAAATATATTAAAACTAATTTCAAGGCCAGGCATGGGGGCTCATACCTGTAATCCCAGCACTTGGGAGGCCAAGGCGGGTGGATTGCATGAACTCAGGACCAGCCTGAGAAAGAACGAGAAAGTACAGAGACCCCATCTGTAAAAAATAGCTGGCCATTATGGCAGCCTGCTACTTGGCAGGCTGAGGCAAGAGAATTGCTCAAGGTTTGAGGTTGCTGTGAGCTGTGACACTATAGCACTTGACCAAGGGCGACAAAATGAGACTGTCAAAAAAAAATAAATTTCATCTGTTTATTTTTCCTGTGACTGCTAGAAAATTTAACATTACATTTCTACTGGATAGCCTTGCTCAACAAAAATGGGTTTTGCCGAGAACTGGGGCCCACATGACCAGGGCTGGTTCCGGACCTGCCCTTGAGCCAACTTATACAACTGAGGCTAACCTTTTGGAGAGGTGGGGCTTGGTCTTTGTGATTCACCCCTTACCTCCCAAAGAGCCATCTGAAATCCCACCATTCAAGTCATCCATCACTTTGAATAATCATAGTTTTTCACAATGCAAGTACCCTAGGATTAAGAACTTCACACCTAGACTGAACATTCTGGGATCCCAGATGCTTACAAGATAGAGGAGGGATCTCTAAAGAGAACTTTAAGGTAGGAAAATAGAAATTGGAGAACATTGACTGTTCGTGGCTGTCTCACACCTGCATGTTGTGGTTAGCTTTCTGGCTTTGATGCCACCTGTCTCCTATAAGTTGACTCCTGCCCTACCTCTTTGCTTGTCCTTAGAATGGGCAGTTTGGTGCCCCTGGGAGTTTTAGAAGAGTCATACTTAGAAGTTTTATTTTTTTTTTTCCTTTCCTCCGTTGTCCCAATTCTGAGTGGTTAACCTGACCTGGCAAGTCTAAATTTCCTTTTAAATACACAAGCACTGTCCTTAGACTTTATGTAAAAGAGTCCTGATGGCTGAGTATAGTATTACAATGTGGGGTATAAGGGGTAGAATTTGTTCTGCAGCTTGGCCTGCGTTAGACAGTTTTTAAGGAAAGAACTGACTGAGCTGTTTCTAATGTGGTCAGCGTGCTACATGGGTTAGCAGCAATTCTTTGGGGGTCTCGGTGTATGAGTCCTGGGCAGGTCCTTCACAGACTTGGTCTTCATGTTTAGTCTTGTAAGTTCCTTCCCACCGTTTGTCTGATGCCTTCTGTGGGCTTAGCATTGAGTGAGGATTCATTGATGACTATCCAAACTGGGGTTCAGGGATCAGAGTGAGTTTGCCTCTCGTGTAGCATTGGATTCTTAGACTTGAAGTGGCTGGGATTTTTGTTTTGTTTTATTTTATTTTTTTCTCTTCTAGGCTTTTGTAAACTGGAAAGAGGCTAAACTGACTTGGAGTTTTTTTAAACAGTCTTTCCTGAAACAGATTTTGACGGAAGGTAAGTAAAAGGTCAGGCTGAGCAGTCTGGAGAACATAGTAGAAGGGTAATCTTACAGGACTGCTATTGCCTGGATCTAGATCACCTGTCTACAGCCCCCTGGGCAGAAGAATCTCAGAAATGTGTTGTTTTTTTAAAATAAGGAATGAGAAACCAACATCTATGTAGTTTTATGCTTTTAAGTTATTTAATTTAAATCTATCTACAGCCTTGTAGAAAGATATTGTTCCCCTTTATTATGAATGAGGAAACTAAGGGTCCATGAGGTCATAGAACTTCTTCAGGGTTTTACAGTAACAAGAAATAGCTTAGTTGGGATCTAAGTCTAACTCTAAAACCCTACGTTGCATCATTTTAATAAATTTATTATAAGAATATTATTACATCAATTATAGAAAACTGGGAAAACCATATCCATAATGTCATTATTCTTACTTTTTATTCATTTTCTTGTTTTATTCTTTTCTTTAAAAATTTTTGTTTTTATTTTATTTATTTTTTTATTGTTGAGGATTCATTGAGGGTACAGAAAACCAGGTTATACCAATTACCTTTGTTAGGTAAAGTCCCTCTTCTAATTGTGTCCTGCCTCCAACGGGTGTGTCACACACTGTGATCTCCTACCCCTTCCCTCATTTTCTTTTCTTTTTTTGAGACAGAGTCTCACTATGTCAACCTCGGTAGAGTGCGACAGCTCATTGCAACCTCTAACTCTTGGGCTCAAGAGATTCTCTTGCCTCAGCCTCCCAGGTAGCTGGGACTACAGGTGCCTACCACAACGCCCGGATGTTTTTTGTTGCAGTTGTCATTGTCATTTAACTGGCCTGGGCCAGGTTTGAACCCAGCTCCCTTGGTTTTTTGTGGCTGTCGCTGTAACCACTGTGCTACGGGTGCCAAGCCTCATTTTCTTGTTTAAAATTTTTTTTTAAGAAACAGGTGTTCAGGTGGCACCTGTAGCTCAGTGGGTAGGGCACCCGCCCAAATACACCAAGGCTAGCGGTTCAAAGCTGGCCAGGGCCAGCTAAAACAACAATAGAAACTGCAACAAAAACATAGCCAGGTGTTATGGGAGGCTGAGGCAAGAGAATCGCTTAAGCCCAAGAGTTTGAGGTTGCTGCGAACTGTGATGCCACAGCGCTCTATGAAGGGTGACATAATGAGACTCTCAAAAGAAAGAAAAGAGAAACAGGTGTTCATTATTTTATCTTCTTAAATGAGATTCATCTATGTAATAATTTGGTCCACCTTCTGACTTCTGTCCTTCCTGTTTGACAATGACAGAGGCTTCAGTGAAGAGGGCAAGCAATGGACTGAAAGTAATCTATCTAGTTTTTGTATGTACATGTGTTGGTTTGTTTGTATGCAGCCCTAATTCAAAGAATGAAAATTTAAGGTCACTATAAGTGGCTGAAGGTAGTACTTTTTTTCTACATGTAAATTTCATGTCTGTACATCTCTGTATCTATGTATCTGACATAACGAGACTCTCACTGAACTCATGAGACTCTCATAATGAGACTAAACTTATGTGTTCATCTTTTT